GTGGGAGAGGTATGAGTGTGGGGAGGGTTGGACGGCCCATTATAAGGACAGTGCTTTCCTTAAGGAGGCGGTGGGGGCCAGAGAAGGGGTGTGGACAGTGGCTGGCATGGCCTCACTCCCGTGGTTAAAGATTTTGTGTTGAGAACAGACTGGGTGGCAAGGCAGAAGCAGAGCGTGGTTAGCAGGTTCTCGTGGAAATCCAGGCTCACCCCAGGCAGTGGTGGCCACGGAGGTGGTGGCAGTGGTCAGTCTCCTGCGGGACTGGATGTGGGCAGTGAGAGGACAGGAGGCAAGGAACACAGCTGAGGCTTTTGGCCTGAGCAGCTGGCTGGACAGAGTCGCCATCAGTGATGGTGTGGGCCGTCTGCAGGCGGGGCTGGTTTGGGGTCGTGGAGGATGGGGAGTGCCTGGTGCAGGGGACCAGCCGGGCAGAGACTCTGAGGCCAGAGAGGGCAGGGCGGGTGGGGAGGGTGAGGCCAGGGTGCGGCGGGGGCAATAAGGGCTGGGAGGCCTGATAAGAGATCTCGGACTTTATTCAGAGAGCTGGGGAGGCCAAACAGCGAAGGCTGGACCTATTTCTATTTCTAGAAATAGCCCTCTGCAGCTGGGGAGGGGTGGACCGTGGTGGCTGGAGGGCAGGGGGGAGCTTAGGGAGACTGGCGCAGCGGTCAAGGGCAAGATGACCGTGGCCTGGGTGGGAGGGCGGCCGTGGGGAGAAGTGGGTGGACTCCCCGGGGGTGTACTAGCTTGGGGGGCCCTGCACAGGAGCCGGGCTGACGGAAGGACATGCTGTGCGTGAGGTGCTGCTGGGGACACCACCACACAAGGCTGCCTCCCGAGTCACTGTCCCCAGAGGAGGCCACGTGGTGACTGGGGGGCAAGAGTTCAGTTTAAACGCCTAAGAATCAGAGCTCCGGCCTCTCCCAGTCTTCCTTCCCAGGCAGGTGGGTCCCCCGCCCTGTGCACCCTCGTCCACCCCTGTGCCCCCTGCCCCCCCACTTCTTGGCCTTTCCCTTCCTCACCGGCTTTTCCAGTTCTCCTAACTGCTGCCCTGGGGGCCAAGAAAACCCAGCTGGTTCCTGGTTCCGGGACCAGCCAGCCACCTGGCTGAACTGGAATGACATCACCCTTTGTCCTCTTGCTGGGAACTCCCAGCAGATCAGGGCAGCAGCCGTGGCCACGGGGAATCCCTGTGTAGCACCTGCTTGCACACCCCCTGCGATGGGGAGGTCACCACCTACACACAAGCCTCACTCACTCTTAGGTAGCTAAGTGACCACCCCTCAGGACCCAGCCACAGGAAAGAGCCGGAATGCCACGTGCTGGCTCTGAGCTGGAAGATCTCAGTTTCTGCTCCTCCAAGTGGGCGCAAAGAAGCTGCCCTGTCTCCCTGCCAGGAGCTGTTTTCGGGAAGACACCTTCCCTCCTTCCTGAGGGCCTCGGCTTGGCTCGACAATCCCTGGGGCCAGGTGGCCAGGCAGGTGGGGTTGGTCACATTTCTGGTGTCAGCGTTTCTGTCCATGTGGCCACAGATAGGGTTCCATAAGAAGTGTGGAGGGGGCCGGCCCTGGGGTAACTGAGAGCCCCACAAGAGGTACTTTTCTGGAATGACTTGGATCACAGATGCTCAAAGTGGAACACCAGGAACCAGAACAGATTGCTCAGCCCTCTGAGGGGTCTCCCACCCCAGGAGGGGAGACTCCTGGTGGGCATTCGCTCCGCTCCCCATGCGCTGGGCCACCCCGGGCAGCACAGTGTCCAGACTCAGTTGTCCCTCCGTAAATCGGGGCGTGAGCCCTGACTTGCCTGGCACCCTGCCAGCATGAGAAGCCAGATGGGAAAGTCCTCTGAAAACCCAGGAAGCGAGGCGCCTTCCTGTCGTGCTGGGGGAGGGAGACGGAGTGCTCCGGGGAGCCCAGGGCTGTCCAGGGCCACAGGCAGGCTGGGGTCAGGCTCCACCATTTCTTAGCCGTGTGACCCCGAGCAAGCCTCAGTTTCCCCATCTGTAAAGTGGCCTTGTCTTCCAGTTCTCCATGAGGGGTGGGGGCGACTAGAGGGGGGATAGGAGGGCGCGTCGAAACGAGAGAATCCCGAAGCCTGCGGGAGCAGTGGAGGCGGGGACCCCAGGGTGGGCGCCGCCCCTTCCCCTGGCTCGGGGCTGAGAAGGAAGGGAGGTGGGCGGGGGCGGGGCCTTGGCGGGTGGGCGGGGCCTCTGGCGGG